ACTTTTATTGATTGAATAAAGGGTGTAATGGGTATTTTCCTTTTATATTTAAACTTTATAAATTGTTTCTTAAGTTATTTACTTTGGTTGCTTATAATTAATGATAAAGACACCACTACCTTTGCAGCTCCTTATGCCAATTCATCTATCAACCCCACAATAAAACTTACACTTAATTTGTGGCCATTTACCTATAGGGCCTAACATGATTGCAATTTAGGGCATTTTGTCATTCCATATACCACAAGCCAAAATTCCCACCTCATAAACCAGAATTCTGCAAGCAAGGAAATTCATTGCTCCATTTCTCCAGAGGACAAAGATGATACCTAGTGTCTAAAGCACTACTCATGCCAAAAATTCTAATATATGCCTCTAATACCATGTGAAGAGAAACTAGCCTCTTCTCCTAACACTTTGAAGAAAGACAGAACTCCAACAACAAGCAGCTCTCAAAAAAAACTAAAAACCTTAAATTGAAGGAATGTGACTCAAGCCACGTGGCTGACTCTAACGGTAGGACAGGATGGCATTGGTGGCTGCTACATTCTCTACTTTGGTGGCAGGAAGACCCTTTACTCACCACCTCCAGAGGGATGAGCACACTTATATAGAAACTGTAAAATAACAAAATTGTGGCTACATTTTCTCTTGTGTTTATAATCACCGGGCCGTCGGATGAAGATCGTGCGGTCCCTGACGATTCTAGGGCGAATCCCTAACCCTAGCCAATATATAGGTTTCACGATAGGGTTTCAACAAGCAAAATGGACGAGGAATTGGCTAAGGTGGAGGCTCAAATCGGGCTTCTTGAGCCGCAGATCCAAGCGGCTGGGGAATCTTTTCTCTCAGCCTTTCAGAGTGGCAATCATTCTCTGGCGGAATATTGGCTGAAGGAGAAAGAGCGGCTGCAAAAGAAGGAAGAGCACCATTACATTGGAGGAGGAGGAGTTCCTTCTTCCGCAGCTGTTCTTTTTCCTTCCGCAGCTGTTCCGCAGCTTCATTCTTTGTGTATTTCTATTTGGGGCGTTTTGCTGTGTGTCGTGGATTATGTGTGGTTCCATGTGGCTCTGGCTGCTTTCGGCCATGGTTAAGGATTTTGCCAGAGGTAGCTTCAATTCGCTTTTGTTTTGGGTTGCCGGAAGTGTGACTATGGTGGCTTTTGGCTATGCTGCCGGTGGACGCATGCTCCCTTGTGCATCTTTGGTCGTCCTTGTATGGCTATGGCTGTTGAGACCCTGGTTTTTTCTTCTAGATCTAATACTAACTTTGTTTTGTTCTGAATGTTGCAGTGCGCGGATCTGGTAAGCAATTGCGAAAGCCCTTTGTTTCCTATCCCCATTTTCTGTCCAGTTCTTGGTATTCCATTTGTCCAGTTCTGGATGCTACTTTAATGCTGTCTGTCTAGTAATAGTTGGGTGTCTTCTCTTTGGGATAACTGGTATGTTTTTCGGCCTGACACTAGAGTTTGCTCAGTTCTGCTCACAAGTCTGTGCGTTCCTCCAAAGCCCCCTTGTTTGCTTTTCATGTCTGTCTTGTGTTTTACTTGGTCATTCCCCGATGCCTTTTCTTTCAAATTTCGTCGCTGCTAATCTGGTGGCCCTCTCTGTCGAGACCCCTTAACCTCTCAGATCTGTGTTGCGAAATCCCTGACCATAACCACACATGGAAGAGATGACTAAGGATCCCTTTCTCCTCTCCCGCAGCAGCCTCTCTTTCACCCGGAGCAGCAGCAACTCTTTATCCCGGAGCGGAATCTGTTTCTTTCTTTCTGTGTGGATATCTGGTAATCTCCGCATCCTTGTGGTCATTCTCACCCCTGTTTGCCCTTTGGCTGTGTTTAATTCTGTGGCCATTCCTCCATAAACTATATTGTACCTCTCACAGCACCAGCGCGGACTTCCTCCAGCCGATTTTGACGTGCCTGGTAAAAATGATGTCTAGGGGACTGAATGCCATAATTTTTTGTTTCAGACAAGATCGCCTGGGCCAAGAAGCTGGACGAGAACCTGACCGCAGATTTTACTGACGATGGCATTGACTGGACAAGCCATGCGACTTTTCGTGAGCTCCATATTCCCGCTTTCTCTGGAATGGATGGCAGTCAAACATACATGTACATGGGTCGCTCACTCTTCAAGGAGATAGAAAGTTTCGTATCGGGCTTGAGACACGGCGCTTCGGATAAGCACAACAAACCTCCAGGTGTTATTACTGGAACTCCGGGGTCTGGGAAAACCACTGCTCTTGCTACTGTGGCGGGATATCTTCGGAAACTTTGGAAGAACACCTCCAAGAAGGTCGTCTTTATCAATGGCGAAGATTTCGTCGACAACCCCTTGAGGACAATGTGGCTGGCTCTTTTGCTGAGCTACATAAACGACCTTCCAGCCGAGCTTTCGTACCAGGGGTGGACCTTGAAAGTATTAGAATCTTGGATCCTGTCGAGATCAGAGCAGCTTTACTTTCTGGTGGACGAGTCCAACGCGTTTGACACCACGCTGAAGAGAAAACTGGGGGCTGCCAGCGCGGAAAGAAGGGACGAGGCTTACCATTCTATGATGACGATGCAACTGCAGTACGTCGTTGTCTACTGCTCGTCCGTCGGACCTCTGTGGAGGAGCAGAGTAGTGAGCGACAAAAGCCCTCCGTACATGTTAGTCACAGGTGGTTACAACGTAAGTGGCGACTACTTTCCAACACCGGTGTGGGGCTAACTTGTGTGCTTTTCCTTTTATCCAACAGGCTGAGGAACTGCAAGCATATTGCGAACACGAGGTTCGTCTTGCCGGGGAGCTTCAACCGGAGGTGAGCATCCGTGTTTTCCTTTAAAGCCTATTAATGGTTTGGAGTAGGAGAATCCGATTGTGGCGTATTGCAGGCTTTCCACAAAGCAAGAGCACCGGAAGTTGAATGCGAAGCGCATTAAGGTAAATGAAATGTGTGATTTTATGGCTTACCGACACGATGAAGCAGGTTGATGGATCTGAAGAGGAGCTGAATTTGTCCGACATGGAGCTCTGCTCGGAATTCAAAAGTGAGACTGGCTGGGTTCCCAGGCTTGTCGCTCATTACGGGACCGCGATGCTACGGATGACGTACCAGATGTACGAAACTGGCGTGGAAGAGTATATCCAAGAGGCGGTCAAGAACCCATCTCGCTGGAATTGCTTCATAGCTGTGGTCGGCGGAGTGGACACGATTAGAACGGTGTTGCCAGACGCGCTAGACACTCGATGCTTCTACGTGGATGCAGAGACAGAAACAGGAAAATGTCTATCAGATTCTCTGCGTGCGCGCACTATGGCGCTCATCACCGAGACTCTGCGGTACGCGTCCGACTTGGAGGCTAGGATGGGCATCGGCCAATGGACAGGGCTGATCCGGCACGACGACAACAGTGCTCGGGTTGGGTGGAACGCAGAAATGGCAACTCTCATTTTCATCAAACACTATGGTATCGTTATTGACACGGAAGGTCTGCAGCTTAACTTCAGACCTGAAGTGGTTGTCAGATTCGAAGGTGATTTCTCTCCCCAATTTCTGCTCGCGGACAATGTTTCTCGTTTCTTCCCACCTGTGAAGTTCAACCACACGGGAGTTGATTGCCTTGGATCAAACAAAGAAGCACGTTTTGTGGGTGCAAATAGCGACTG